AGACGACTCGATCGCATCGATGCGCTGATGCAAAAGTGCAGTCTGAGACATCGCCCACGTTTCACAGCGCCTTGCAAACGCAGCATGTCATCCACACGCATGCCTTCCCCCGCAAGCTCATCCTCCAACGGCGCCTCACCGCCAACAAAGCCGACATTCGCGACGCAGCTGTCAGAGGGCAGACCGCCATTCTCGCTGCTGCACGAGATCCTCTTCCTCAGCTTGATCGTCTCCACACAGTTGCTGGCTCAGGCTGGCTTGGGTCAGGTCATCGCACCGCTGCACATCATCGGTCCCCAATTGGGCACCCGCGATCCCGGTCAGCTGAGTTGGATGCCGGCTGCCTACTCGCTGACCATCGGCACATTCATGTCAGTCGTTCGCATCACCTCGTCGTCCGCTGTCCGCACACTGCTTATCCTATTCCTTTCCATTCGCCCACCCCGCTCGCACTGCATCAGATTGATATCAGGCAGGCTTGGCGATGTCTACGGCCATCGCAGGCTTCTTGTCGTCGGCTTTACATGGTACGCCGTCGCCTCGTTGGGAGCAGGTCTGTGCGCCTACGATCGTCATTCTCCTATCCCTTTCGATGTTCTGCGCGCCCTGCAAGGTATCGGTCCAGGTCTGCTGCTTCCGAACGCTCTGGCGATCCTCGGAAGGACGTACAAACCAGGTTTGAGGAAAGCCCTCGTCTTTGCCATCTACGGCGGATCAGCTCCTACCGGCTTCATTCTGGGCGCCACCTTTTCCAGTCTAGTAGCGCAGCTAGCCTGGTGGCCCTGGGCATACTGGCTCACCACCATCGTGTGCGCCGCGCTGGCAATCGGCTCTCCCTTCATCGTGCCAGCAGACCACGATGCCGTGCCGCACCTCGACTTTGGCGAAACGGCCAAGAGGCTGGATCTGGTCGGATCCAGCATCGGCATCCTCGGCCTATGTCTGTTCAACGTGGCCTGGAATCAGGCGCCCCTTGTGGGCTGGCAGACTAGCTACGTCATTGTGTTTTTGGTCGTCGGCATAGCCCTCATCGCGGCTTTCCTCGTTGTAGAGACCAAGGTTGCTCATCCCATTCTGCCTTGGAAGACCTTTTCTAGCGAGGCCAGTTTTGTGCTGGCCTGTGTCGGTGCGGGCTGGTCCAGCTTTGGAGTGTGAGTGAGGATGTGGTTGGCGTGTTGCAGCAACATGTTTGTTGAGAGTCGCGACGCTAATCTGCGCTCCTTGACGATCGCAGCTGGATGTACTACTGGTGAGTGCTTTGTCGGCGTGCTGGCACTGCGCAAGACTCTGACCAGCAACGGCGACACCCCCACAGGTATCAGATTCAACAAATCATCGAAGGCGACTCGCCCTTGCTTGCCACCGCCAAGAACTCGCCCGTTTGCTTGGCAGGCATGACGGCAGCAATGTTCTGCTTCTACTTCATCACCAGACTGCAGTCCAGTCTGCTCATGATGCTGTCCATGTGCGGATTTCTGAGCGGCAACCTGCTCATGGCACTCAAGCCAGCTCATCAAATCTACTGGGCTCAAACCTTTGTGGCCACATTGACGACACCGTGGGGAATGGACATCAGCTTCCCTTCTGCTACGTTGATTTTGAGCAATGCAATGCCCGTCGAGCATCAAGGAATGGCAGGCTCGCTGGTCGCCACCATGGTCAACTATGGTATCAGCATCGGCTTGGGGATAGCGGGCACCGTCGAAGTGCACACCAATAGGGCAGGCACCGACACGCTAAGAGGTTTCCGCGGAGCCCTCTTCAGCGGTGTCGGGCTGGCGGGCTTCGCGCTGCTGACCAGCGTCGCATTCTTCGTATTCGAGAGCGCGCAGAGCCGTGGGAAGGGAACCTTGCGAGCGGACGAGCACGAGCGCGAACACGAGCCCAAGAGGATGATGGTAGATGGACGAGACGATGCCGCAAATGGTGAAGCAGCGCCCGACGCAGATGCTTCCCGCGCCAACCCTATGAAGCCCCCACGTGATACTTGAATCCAATGAGGTTCAAAATGTGCACTGTTTACTTGCAAGTCTTGACTCACTCTGGACTTGGACTTCACTCTTGAGTTCGATGACTGAAGTGTCCCCGTTCAACGACCATAAAGTAAGCAATGTCGGCTATAATCTCAACACGAGTACGAGCCACCAGAAATTGAGGAAGTAGTGTGTACAATAGCATGTACCCATGATTTATCAGACTGGGCCATGGGACCTATTGAAACTAATCAGGCCTAGTCAAGACGAGAAGAATGTCAATACGACACGAGTCAGTTGTGTGGTCCTTATCTTCTGAAGTTGAAACACAACCAAAGGGTACCTGTGCTTAGTACGCAAGGACCGGCGTTGGGTAATTCCATAATTTTAAATGTATCTATTGTTATGTGCGTCAATCAACAGTCAAGAGTCTCGTTCAAAAATTTTCAATGACCATCGAGAATGATGATCGTGCTCCAAAATGTTTGGTCAAAGCGTCAGCTCCCGATTTTCAGCGCATGTAGCTGACAGTCATACGCAAGACTCACAGTTGTGTAACCGAGACTGAACTTCAAAGGCTAAGTGTGAGTTCCGAATCGGAAATCTGAATCAAGAATGTGCATATGACATCAAGAGTCTTCATCATGATTGAAAAGTGAGGTTTTGGACCTTTGACTAGGACCGAGCAGTCAGAAAAGGAAATCGTGAATCTTGAATGGAGAATGTAAATGATATCAAGAGTCTTGAAATGCAATTCAAAACAATCTGTGATCATTGAAAATTCACTATTGAAGATTCAACATTCAAGATTCAAGATTCAAGATTCAAGATTCAAGATTCAAGATTCAAAGATTCAAAGATTCAAAGATTCAAGATTCAAGATTCAAGATTCAAGATTCAAGATTCAAGATTTTGATCACTTGATATTCAGATTCAAAATTCTTGATTATCCGAGGAGACACAGCAACCTTGCGTCACGTGAGACGTGGGGCGTGGGACGCGGGACGCGGGACGTGGGACGTGGGACGTGGGACGCGCGCTTCGTCGCATGGACGGCTTGCCCATCATCGAAAATCAATCCTTATTGGTTAAATTGTGATTAGAGTGTTCACGTAGCTGGCATTTAAGAGTCCTTCATTATTCACGTTCACATTTTCATTTTGATTCAAGATCTGTTTCAAGATTGATGTCATTCAAGATTCAAGTTTGCATCTTGAATTCGCCTTTTTGATCCACCACTCAGACTCTTGACTCAAGACTCTGTGTCTGACTGATTTTGGAGTTTGGAGTCGAGTACCGGTACAGACCGTACCTTGACATTTGTGGTTCCATTTCACTTGACTCCGTCCACTCGGCCTTCGCTCCGTCGTGGTGTCGTGACTCGCTTGACAATCTCATGGGAACTCAATCAGCTGACAGCATACAGCATGCGGCATACCGCACACCGCACAACCGCATACAGCCACCATGTCACCGACCCCTCTGCACCTGGTCCGGACAAAGCTTGTCTCCGTCGATGCGACTAGCGCAGGACAAGACTTGAGCAACTGTTTGAAGCGACTGCCACCAAATGGAAGAGAAGCTGGTGACATTTGGACATGGATTGCCAAATGTCTCGATATCAGTGTCAGTGCGGGTGCGGCTGCGGCTGCGGGTGCGGCTGCCGGCAGCACTGAAAACAGACCAGGGATGGAGGATACAGCTCAAGGAGAAGCAAGAGCAGCAGCGAATCCTCCAGCAGAAGCTACAGCCGCAGCGATGTCTGCAGGTTCATCCACATCCACATCTCTCACAGCAACAGCAAATGTGTCAACCAAGAAGCGTAAATTGGACGGGGAAGGAGTAGGAGAAGGCGAGGAAGGGACTGAAGCAGCAGCGGAAGTACGCGGGGCTCTGCTCCGCACCAGGCGCCTCGACGCAGCATTGGGCTGCACCGGCACCGGCACCACGTCTACTACTACTACCACCGGCACCACCACCACCACTACCGCCACCACCACCAGCAGCAGCAGCAGCAGCAGACGAAGCAAGCAGGATGTTCGCACAACACCTCCGGATGAGGCTAGCGAAGCAGCAAGCTCCCAGATGGCCGATACGACTGCTCGAAGGATCTTTGAACAGCTGTGGAGCACCATGAAGGGGAAGCATCACGATCGCTACTTGTCCCTCTCATTGACGCCGCAAGCTGAGGAGCAGTTGAGCACATGCATGAGGGATGCTCGGTTCGCAACGGAGCTTGAAGCTTTGAGGCGCGCATGCAAGACATCCAAGACAGAACACGATCTGGAAGAGAAGGTGGCGCATTTCCTCAATCAATCTGCCGAGATTTATCGCTTGCATAGTCCATCAGCAGCTTCAAATATCACCCAAATTCCACAGCGCTCTGCTGTAGTCCAGAGTCGGACGAGTGTTGTAAGTCTGATTGGTTGACATCGCATCGCATCGCATCGCCTTACCAAAGCAGGTGTCCCGTGCTGCACCGCACCGCACCGACTCACTCTTCTCATCTCTTCTTTGCCCCCCTCTCCTCTCCTCCCTCCTCTCCTTTGCGATGCTTTCTCGCTCTGGGGAGCCCAAAGGCACTGCGACTCAGGCACAACTTTGAGAACGCAGTCAGCTCCAAGCCAGAGAATTCCATCAAACCGGACATTAGCATTGGTGATTGCACCACTAACAAGCGCTGCAATTGGAATCAGATTCTCACTGTTGTCGAGGTGAAGCTAGCAAGTGGCGACGACGGTAACGTCGAGATTATGGGTCAGATCGCGGGCTACGCGGTAAGTCGTCTCCTGTTGCGCTGCGCTTCCCCGGTCAAGATGACAAGAAGCATGCCAAACACTCATCCTCTGACTGTCCGCCCGCTCGCCCGTTCGCCCGCTCCATCTCCTGCGCTGCAGCGCATGCTTTTCTCTGCCCATCCCATCGCCCGTCACGTTCACATCCTCACGTGGTGTGGCCCCATAGTCCGACTGTGGCGATTCGAAGCCAACCGGTATGCCGTCACGCGGGGATTCTCCATACATCACGATGGTGACCTTGCCGACATTCTCAGAGTTGTTCTGCTATGTATGGCAGATCAACATTTGCTGCCAACTTGGAATCCACCCAGATTCAGCACTCTGAAGCTCACACACCCAAAGGGCAATACGCAGTCTCGCCAATTGGTGTTGAACGATGCCGCACCCGCAGAGGCACTTGTTAGACCGGCAGTCCTGGGATCTAGAACCGTCATCTTAATATATCCTTCTACTGCTGTGCAGAGCATTTCCTCGATGACACTAGGTGGACAGTCGCGACTCTTCGATGGCGATAAGCGACTCTTTGTCAAGGCGTCGTGGCGCCCTGATCGCCTGGTAGGGCACGAGCTCAACATGCTGCAACTCATACAAGACGGTCTCATAAAGCTCAGGGAAGAGCAAAACGATTGCTGGAGAGATGTCGACGCTCCGGCTCCGTTGGGTGCGATGACGGAAGATGTGGACTGGACCACGTGGGCAGACTCTTCAGGTAACAAGCTGAGCCTCGATGTGCTGGCTTTTGTCCAGCACAAGGGCCAGCCCATCCAGCAAGACACCAGTGAAGCGGATCTTGCGCAAGTGTTTGGCCAGCTGGTCCGGCAGCTCGCAGCCTACGCTCAAATTGGCTTGCATTACCGTGACCTCAACCAGGGCAACATCCTGATGCTTCCGGGCGCCGAAGGACGCCTCGCTAGGCTTGTCCTTGCCGATCATGGCAACACGCGCATTGGCACTGCCCGCCTGCGAGGACCAGACTCGCTTTGCCGAGAGAGGAACGAAGACGAATGGATGGAATTGGCGGAAGACGATGCTCGTTCAGCCAACCATCTTTTCCTCCCACTCTGTGCTTTGGACAGCGCGAGCCATGCGAGAGCGTATCGTAATTGCCAACAGTCTCTGCCCGAGCTTGAAGCAGCACAACGCAAGGCGACGATGACCGGGAGCGTTCACAAGATGGAGTTGGCTTCGGAGCAACTGAGCGAAGCACAAGCGGACTTTAAGAGGGCGCGCGAGCAAATCTTTGTCCGATGCCATCGATATATCGATGATGTGGAATCGCTTGTGTACCTCTACTTGTACACTGTCAGTTCGGCTCGAGCCCCGTTTGCTGTCGCGGATACTGACGACTCGTCATCGACTTTTCTTCTTGCGGCCGACAGGTATCGAGACGAGACATGCCTACTCATGACTTGATCAAGGAGCAATTGTCCGATGGAAATCGAAAGGCTGATCTTTGGGGAACGGGCTGGTATAAGGTGCGTCGTCTCTCGCGCATTCGCCAGCATCGCTTCTGAACCACATTGCCGCACCCTCAAAAGGTGGTGACGATAGGTCTGAAGGAGAAGCTCAAAGTGTCCTCCTGCTTCACTGACTGCATCGATCAAGTGCGTTTTCTGGTGCGACGCGCTCAGAAGAAGATGCAGTCCGTGCTTGAGGAGCATTTCAAGAAACATCTGGCCAATGACGATTCTGCCATACCTGAATTGAAGGTTGACCAAGCGGAATTGGACTTGTTTCAGGATGTGGCCATGGCATTCGAGCGAGTAGTGCAAGAGCACGGCAAGGCGAGTCAAATCTCTTGTCTCGCTGTCGCACCCTTGAGTGTTGGAACTGACAAAAACAGTTTTGCTCGCCCTTTTCAGTCTCTTGAAAGGATCACTCAAACCCTCTAGATCGGCCTCTGGTTTCGCCTCTTGCCCCCTGCACCGTATGCCCAGCGCTAGCAAAGGTATACTGTTAAGGGGGCAGTCCATATCAGCTGCGTGGGTGATGGCAGGGTGGACCTCTGATGTACGCCGTTCCTTCTTCCACGGCGCCCCACTCCCAGTGCAGGAGTTTTTGGACATTCTCATGTCTGTGCGCACAGTCTCTTCTTTCGCTTTTTCCCCGCTTTGTCATGACGAGGCCAACGTTGATCACCTCTATCACTCCTGCACATGTACGATATCACAAGTCATCGCTCCCGTCATCCAATGGACATTCAAGACCCGTGTTTCACATTCAAGATTAAGATTGCGTCCAATCGTGTACCGTACACGTGACTATGCGTGGTGGGTGGGTGGGGGCCCACGTTGCGTCTTTGTCGCCTGGGATTGTGCTGGGAATTGTGAGCTGTGATGAACTTTGTCGGCATTCACAGTGTGAGTGCTGGCACTTGTAATCTGAATCTGAACGAGTTGGTTGCCCCTGCGAAACGGCGATGAAATAGCGCGTGCAAATCTGAATCGAGCGATTCTCCACTCACCCTCTCGTCGCGCGGAACCTCAAGCTCGAGTCTGTAGATAGGCGAGCGCCCCAGCACGAAGTTTGCAGCCAACCAGGAGCAGCGGATTTGGCGGGGAGTTGGATCGAGTTGTCTGTAGGAGGATCGGCCGATGAGCTCCGACGCGGCCGGTCTGCATTCGTGATTTTCTAGCGCGTGGGCGCGCGGGCAGCCAGGAAAGCGGCGGCAGCAGCAGCAGTCGCAGTCAGCGCGGATGATT